TGCCAAGGGGTAACCAGTGCAGAGCGGGCTCAGCGGTGGCCGGCATCGGCACCCAGCATGCGCATCTCCAGAGGCCCAGGCGGCCCCACTGAGCCCAAGCGCCCCGCAGGCGTGAGCAGCTTGCTCCCTCACCTCCCCGGCTTCTCCAGCCCAGAAAACCTCCTCCTCCGAGGACACCTATCCCGTTGTTTCTGCAACTTCGTGGAGCAGTTCTGAGGTGCTCTCTCAGGAGTGTCTTTCCAAGGAAAATCACAACTGTAGTGCACACTGCCCAGAGCCACCTACCAGAAGAGCAGGCCGTGAAAAGCTCTTCAGTGCCTCCCCAGCGACCCCATTGACCAGAGCCAGCTCTTTCCTGGTCTTCCCCACAGAAATGACCTGCAAAGGCAAAATCTGCAAACTGACACAGGACGCTGAAGTAGCCACAACAGTGCGACTAAAGACATCCACAAAGCCAGCTGCTAGAACAGCCTCAGAAAGTGGCATGAACAGTGGGATAAAGCGAGGCAAGGGGGAGTATCCGGCGGGGGGCTGGGGTTCATGGCACTGTCTTTCGTTGTAATACTTTTTTAAAATTTAAACATGCATTGTACTTGTTGAGGATGACTGTCTTAGCTGCTTTTCTTGTTGCTGAGACAAAATACCCAACTCTCAACGTTGAAGGAAGAAAGGTTTCTGTGGCTTTCATGTAAACCCCTGTACCTTATCCTTACATCCGCCGCCCCATCCCCTCAGGGGTGCCTTTTGCCTGAATCTTTATCAATTGGGAGGTACCACGCTCTTACTCCCTGGGAGGCAGCTAGCACCCACGACCTTAAGCCCCGCGTTGCATCCTGAATCAGTCCCAGCACTACACCCTCAGAGCCGACCCACTGTGACCACATGAGGCTCTGGGGGGACATCTGGACACAAGCCATAATGTCATTTATATTCAGATAACAGGTGAACTACCTTCAGCTGAGCAGGTGAACTTGTGTTCTCTTGTTGCAGGTGAAGAGAGCTACAGACACCTACCATTTAGGAATTGCCCTTGAACACCAGAAAGGAATGCTCAATCTCTGGCAGAAGATCCGAGGGGATTTGATTGGAATAGACACTAAAAATGAGTCTTTTTATGACACGTTTTCTACCTATACGTGGTCCTGGAATGTTTGCCAAGAGTTACTTTCTGCGAAGGACTTAAGGTTGTTTGACACTTACGTGCACAGGAATTCCTGCCCCCACTCCGAGTTCTCTTCCTCGTCGGATACCAGTGAGTATGACTCAGAGAGGGACAGAAAAAGAAAACGGAAAAGTTTCAAAGGATTTCGCCAGTGAAATTTCTACATTTTCTAAACAGCTCATCGAAGACTACTTTTTCATAATTATCAAAATTATGGTTTCTTGCTTTTCTCTAGTACATTCTTAGCAGCTGGAAATTTTGACATCTTTTGAATTGCAACCAATAAAAAAAGCCTAACTCGTAAAATGGTTTTCTTTGCCTAAATCTTCTCAAGTCAGTGGACGCCTTGCCCTTAGTTCCAGCTGTGTTCTGCTGCCCCACCCCCACCCCCACCCCCAC